AAACTGGAATCCAGCCGGAGACGACCCGGCTGGAACCAGTTTTTTTTTTTTAATTTAAATAATTAATTTTTAAAATTTAAAATTTAAAAAATAATTAATTTGGAAGGATGACTTGTTGACCTGTTGGAAACCTTCAAATTGGAAGAATTGTTTGAAATTGATTAGTTTATGGACCCAATTGTTGGTTTTTTAAGTTCAGTGGCCTAATTGTTTTATCGTGTGCAGTTCGATGGCCTATTTGACCCTTATTCCTAAGATTAATGTGCAATTTAAATATCAATTATCATCTTAGATTTTGAGTTTAGATGAACACATCTTTAAATAAGTCATGAAAATATTTAAATAATTATTATGTGTGAATTCCTATGATAAAATTATGAACATAAATATATTTGCAATTAAAATAATATTTAAGGTGGGTGATTATTACAAATCTTAAACTATATTAAAAATTTAGTACATAGTATTTAATATTACAAATTTTTAAGAACTTAGTGAACTACAATCGTAATTGAATTATAAATTTAGAGTCACCACGGATCAAAATTTTTAGACCTTTGAGATTTCTAACTTTAGATGTAGCAATATACAATTTACCTTTAAAGACCAAACAATTATTTATAAATATAAATGACTATTAATCATCATCACCATTTAAAAAAATAATTGTAACAATAATTGCTCACCAAACCATATAATTATATTATAGTTAAGATTTCAATTGTTTTTTTAGAGTTAAAAATGATTTTCAAGTGGTAACATTTACTTTTCTTATCTGGTTTGTCCTTCACTTTTGTGTTCTTTTCCCTTTGATATTTTATAAATAGTTTCCAGAAGTAGTTTTCCCTTTGATATCTGGTTTGACATCATTTTTAATGCTATATTATTATTTTTGTTGCAAAAATCACTATTTCCATGTAATTATATGGATAATGTATCAGATTTTGTTGTATTGCACTAAACATTTTATACACTTGTTTCCTGTTATATATCATATGTTTTTCACTCATATAAAAAGTGTTTGCTAAACTTGCTAAATCTTAACTATAATACCAACATTTAACCATTAATATCAGCATTCAATTTTCACAAGACCATATGGAACTTGCTAAATCTTAACTATAATACCAACATGTAAATAATATCAACATTTAATTTTCACAAGACCATATAGCTTTATTATAATTAAGATTATTATTATTATTATTATTATTATTATTATTATTATTATTATTATTATTTATGAATAGAGTAAAAGACAAGTTTGGTCCTAGACTTATAGTGGCACGGACAATTTTAGTCCTCCATAAAAAATTCAGACAATTTGTGGACAATCTTGTTGTGACGAGGACAATTTTGGTCCTCCGTCTATATTTCTGTTAGATAGCCGTCTAAGATGAGGGCAATTGCGTCAATTTCCACACTATCTTCTTCTCCAACCTTCAATTCTCTGTAACTGGCAACGCCAAACCCCAAAATGTAGACGATTGAAATATGGTGTAGAAATAATCCACTGGCACCATTGTCCCTTGTGGCAATGCCACCTTTGGAGCACGCTCATCAAACCGAATATCAAATGGTTCGAGCCCTGACTTCCTAGTAAAATAGAAAACCGAATCAACATCAGGCAAACCATTTGAAATTCCCTGCCGAATGAATTGTCTCACACCAAAAAACTCGGCGTAGAACTCCTCGCGCTCAATCTCACCCACATTCTCCGATGGCAACCTCTTGGCCAAACCGACCTTTGGCCAAAATGTATATAAGGGTTAACAACAGCCCTATTAGGATTTTCATGACTATACTACAAAATAACCTCCTGCCTAGCAATCTCCCCCAACCAATTCGATATCGAAGTGCTTCCAAAGATATGTAAATTGCAGCTTTCAAGCTCCAATCTTTGGGATTTTTCGAGTTCCCAACAGCCAAAATGTGCCACCCTTTCAGCTTTGTGAGCTTCCTGAGTGAATCTGACGGGTAATTGGACACGGACACAATGATCCACTTCTCGAATCGGGAATTCGCATAGGGAGAAGACTTATCTAGGATTGCAGGGATGTCATTCCAGTTGATCTGAGGCATCTGGGGTTTAACAGAGTGCGCCTGCGTGGACTCAATGCACAGCAAGGCGCCCGAGCCCTCGGCGGCGTTTCAGAAATAGAATAAATCGGCGACAGTGGCTGCAAAGAGCACAATGGTGAGGAGCTTGTATAGATTCTCCGAAACCCATGCGGTAAAATCGAGGTTTTTGGTCTAGGGAATGCAAGAGTGAGGCAATGAATCTCTGCTGGGTTTCAACCCCTTGTGAGATTTCGGGTCGACCCGTTCCGATCTTGGACTAACATTTCAGTTCCTCCTCAAATCCACCACCCCGCAAAATCAAAACACAAACGAAGCGGTGGCTTTGGAGCTAAAATCTTGCGCTCCTTTGTTCCCTCGGCGTGGCATTGACTTGAGTCGAGCTCATTTGTATCTTTGTGACAAAAACACAAACACCTGGCACCACCTTGATCTTGCCTGCCTTTTGGCGTACGTGTAAAGAATTTGATCGAGCCGTCGACATTGTGAAGTATAATTTGGTGAAGGGGAGTTTTCTTTATGATTGACTATAAGCTAGTTGGTTGGTTGGTTGGTGCCGTGACTCTCATTTTAAAAAATTAAATAAGTTGAAGTTACAGAGAATTGAAGGTTGGAGAAGAAGATAGAGTGAATTGACGCAATTGCCCTCCTATTAGACGGCCATCTAAATGAAATATAGACGGAGGACCAAAATTGTCCTCATCATAATAAGAGTGTCCATAAATTGTCTAATTTTGTTATGAAGGACTAAAATTGTCCGTGCCACTATAAATTTAGGACCAAAATTGTCTTTTACTCTTTATGAATATGACTCTGTTTCGCAGAGCTTATTTAGGAACTTATAGCTTATTTTAAGCTACTAATAAGCTATAAGCTCTGTTTGGTAATGTTCCCAAAATAAGCTCCTAGCTTAAAATAAGAGCTTATTTTGGAACGCTACCTTAGTTAGCGTTTCAAAATATGCTCCTAGCTTCCTAATTTTTTTTTTCCATCTTTATCCTTATTATTTTAAAGAAATGACATAATTTATCATTCCCAATTAAAACCTTTTTATCTTCTCCTTGAATTTATCCACAACTTCCACTGTAATTATTATTATTATTATTATTATTATTATTATTATTATTATTATTATTATTATGAGATTTGCAACAATATTGCTACATCGGTATGAGATGCTAGATCATGATTATGCTAATAGTTTTATTTCAAAATGTTAATTTTTTTAAAATACAAAATGTTAGATTTTAATATGTAAACAAACTAATTTTAATTTTATTAAGATGTCCTTTTTAGTCTTTTTACATTTATCAGCTTACCAAAAAGTTAATTTTACCAAACACTTTCAATCATAACAGCTAGCTTAACAGCTCCTCAATTTTCAGCTCCTAGCTTATAGCTTTTCAGCTAGGTTTGCCAAACAGGGCCTATATACGGCTCAGTTTGGCAAAGCTTATTTAGGAGCTTATAGCTTATTTTAAGCTACTAATAAGCTATAAGCTCTGTTTGATAATGTTCCCAAAATAAGCTTCTAGCTTAAAATAAGAGCTTATTTTGGAACGTTATCTTAGGTAGCGTTTCAAAATAAATTTCTACCTTCCTAACTTTTTTTTTTTCATCTTTATCCTTATTATTTTAAAGAAATGACATAATTTACCCTTCAAAATTAAAACTCTTTTCTCTCCTCCTTATAGACAACTTTCACCTCAAATATTATTATTATTATTATTATTATTATTATTATTATTATTATTATTATTATTATGAGATTTGCAACAATTATTGCTACTTCATTATGAAATGATAGATCATGATTATGCTAATAGTTTTATTTCAAAATGTTAATTTTTTTAAAAGACAAAATGTTAAATTTTAATATGTAAACAAACTAATTTAAATTTTATGAAGATGTCCTTTTTAGTCTTTTTACATTTATTAGCTTATCAAAAAGGTAATTTTGCCAAACACTTTCAATCATAACAACTAGCTTAACAGCTCTTCAGTTTTCAGCTCCGAGCTTATAGCTTTTCAGCTTTCAGCTCCTAACTTATAGATTTTCAGCTAGGTTTACCAAACAGAGCCATAATATATTTTGTGCATCATACCTATACCATATTAATTCTATCATTAAATTACAGCACAAACTCCCAAATCACTCATTAAGAGGGTGCTTGAAAACCAACAATATGACTTAAAAATTAGTTATTTTCTATAAAAAAAATAATAATTCATTTTTAGTGTTTTGTTGCATTTAAGCAAATTATTTTTTTGATTCAATTTTTAGAAAATGAGCAGAAAAGAAAAAGGGTCAAAACCTTGAAACTTTATCCAGTTGACTCCAACGATAAAATCGACGACCGTCGCCGGTGGCCTTCTATCAAGAATGCGACCGGTTGGTTGCCTTCCTTCTCTGATGGAAGGTGACCAGTTGGTCGCTGAGGAGATAGGTCGGGAAGATGACTGATACATAATGTCGGCAAGGCGAAGAGAAAAGGCTTAGAAAATGAGTTGTTTTTCATAAAAAATAAGGTGATTTTATCTTTTGACCAGAATTGATTTTTCATGACTTAATTTTTCAAGCTTTGTCAAACACTAAAAAGTGAAAACCCAAAAAATGATTTTTGATGAGGTGAGCTTAAACACACCCTAATATAAGTTATTAATTATTAATTTATGAGTAATTTTACATAGACTTCCAATTCTTACTCTCATTTTATATTTCCTATAACAATAGGGATCATGTTGTTTATCCATTCACTTTTGACTTACTCCAATTAACTCCTAATGCAGCAGTTAATATTAACGACAACTATGTCCGAAAGAAAAAAGTTTGTTTTAGTGGCTGAGTGGCTCTTAAAAAAGTAAAAAATGTTGTCGCTTATGAAATCATCGTTTATGACGGGACTGCCCTCAGTTCCTCACTGCAATTAATTCCCTGAATAGACTTATTGGTAGGGTTTATGGTTTGGGATGTGGTAACTTAAACCTATCTCTGAATTCACCTCCGCGTCTCATCCGCCAACTTCAGTTCACGTACAAATTCTCCTTTCCCACTTATCCTGCATTCGTGATCATGACAAATGATAATAATGCTTATTTTACTGAAAGTATTGATGTGAAATGCAGGGGACGATTGATACTAATTCATGGGGGCGATTGATTTCTGCAATACTTCATCAATTTGCATTGCCAGGTCCAGACCCTGCCGCGGAATTGAAGCAAATTGGAGGAGGAGAATCGCCGTCATGGCATCTTCTTCTGTGCCGGTCAAGGAGGAGAGTCAGCCAAGACAAGTTGTCGATGGGGCTTCTTTTATCCGTCCCCATCTCCGGACTCTCAAGCCCTATCAGCCCATTTTGCCTTTCGAGGTAATTCTTGATGGCCCATTTCTCATTTTGTTCAAATTCATTGAATATAAATGAATGTTGGAACTTGTAACTAATTCATGTGTTAGCTTTGTTGATGATAATGTTAACATTTTCGGATAGTAATGTTGTTTGGGAACATTCAAGCCTAAGGAATACTTTTTTTAAGTTCAAGTTGAGAGAAAGAGATTATAAATGAAGCATCCATAATTGAGATAAAAAAGGAATAAACTATCTAGTGAATAAGCATCAAGTAAGTTAATGTCAAGGGGATTAGGAAGAAATAATTGATGCATTGCGAATTGGAGAACATTGCATATTTTGCTAAAAGAAAAACATTGATGAAGAGAAAAACGAAACAGCTCTAATGTTATTGAAAAGGTCAAATGAGAGAGAAAAAAAGTGAAAGAGTAAGAATGCAAAAGTATGTGACACTTTATCAGGCATAAAAGGTCTGTTGTTTGAAACAGCTCTATCATTGTTGAAAAAGGTTCCCTGATGTGATTTTTAGAGCCAACATCAGGTAACTCCAACAATACGTTGCTGGAGCCATCAGTTACAAAAACTTGATCATGTGTTGTTGCTTCATTTAACTTTTATAGTATTCCTGCACAAAAATAAAACAAAATAAAATTCTAGAATGCTATTAACAAATACCTTCCCTTTTTTGTCTTTTGTCTTTTGTCTTTTCCATCTCAAGGGTGCTTTTTCTAATACAGGTATTATCTGCTCGACTTGGCAGGAAGCCTGAGGATATTATAAAATTAGATGCCAATGAGAACCCGTATGGTCCGCCTCCTGAGGTACTTACTATTTTCAGTGATATAAATAACAATGATGTAGTTTCAGAATATATTTTTCCATAACAGGGCATTGCTTGCAGTTTCACTCAATCTTCCATTGGTGTATGCATATGAATTTCTTTTAGGTATTAGAGGCTTTGGGGTCTATAGAATTCCCCTATATTTATCCCGATCCTGAAAGTCGTAGATTGCGTGCTGCACTTTCTGAAGATTCTGGACTTGAATCTGAGTATATTCTTGCTGGGTGTGGTGCAGATGAACTGATTGATTTGATAATGCGGTCAGTATTAAAAGTTCGGTCATTTTTTAAGATAAAATTAAGACAGACATTGATAATAGGACCTTATTATTATTATTCTTCTTCTGAAGATGATTTCAATATACTACAGGTGTGTATTGGATCCTGGAGAAAAAATTGTTGACTGTCCACCAACATTTACAATGTATGAATTTGATGCGGCTGTAAATGGGGCACATGTTATCAAGGGTTGGTACCTTTTTGCTGCCATGTAATAACTAATAATGATTTTAAAACTTTCATATACCAAACTCCAAATTAAACATCTAAATATTCTCTAGTGTTTTCATTGTGTTTTGTGTCCCTCTTGTGTCTACCTCAACAATTAAACATCCAATATCTTGCTTTGTTTATTGATCATGTGAAAACTGGAATTCACACTAGAAGTGTGTTAGCATCACAAGATAGCTTGCGTTTACATTTATATACAGTCACAATAATCTATCAGCTGTGTCTAAATTAATGAAATTGGTGGTGTCCTCTACCTATTGTGTAATTAGGTGCCTTTACATTTGCATATGGTTCAACTATCAAACTTATTTGTTTTGGTTTCTATCTAACATTCTATAACAAAACTGATTTAGTCCTTAATATACCTTACAGTACCTCGAAACCCAGACTTTAGCTTGGATGTGGAAAGGATTGCTGAAGTTGTTGAGAAGGAAAAACCAAAATGCATATTTCTGACATCCCCTAATAACCCAGATGGGAGGTAATCGTGTACTGTATCTAATATCATTGTTACTTATTTGTTGCTTTCATAGCCTTTTGTGCACCACAGGAAGGATCTTTTTTAATCCATAGTTACATACTACGATAGTGAACTAAAAATTTCAAATTAGTTCCCTGTTGAATGTCTTAGTTATCATTTTATTGGACCTTTGGTTTCTACTCAAGGCATGAAAGTGTTGCCTTGTTTCACTGTATTAAATCTTGAATCAAGTTTCTTTATGGATTTGTGGGTTAGTGTAAAGAATCAATTTAATTCTTCTAAATGAGACTCGTATCATATATTAGAGAGATTTTAAGTTATTTCTTTTTTGCCTGTCATGTTCTTCCTCCACCAGCTTTTCTTTGATTATGTTGTTTATCATTTGTATGACATTTCTTGTGACCTTTCTGGTTTCATTGTAATGTGATGCATCTGTTTCCTTGTTGAACAGTATAATCAATGATACAGATCTACAGAAAATACTTAATATGCCAATATTGGTTGTACTTGACGAAGCATACATTGAATTTTCGGAAATTGGGTCTAAGATGACATGGGTGAAGAAGCATGAAAATCTCATTGTTCTACGGACATTCAGCAAAAGAGCTGGTGGGTTTATGCTCTTTTTTTCTTTCTTTTTTTTTTTAAACAGATAAAATTAACTTCATAAACTTTCTTGTTTCTTTTTATTTTGTTGCTAATCTGTTTCAGATGTATAAAATGAGCAAATGCATGTAATATCTGGACCCTGTAATGTGCAAAAAGTCATTTATTTGTATTGCTAATAAGCACCTTTGCCTAGAGCTTATGATTATTGATTGCGGACAATCCACAATCTACTTCAAATTCCCAATTAATTATTTGCTTAAATAATTTAAATTTTCTGTGCATTTCATAATCTATTAGTACTACCAGACATTTAGAATATGAATCACTGAATCAGAATAATATGAATAATAAATAATACAGACATTATGACCAGTTTGGATAAACAACTTAATAGATGCATTTACAATAAGTGCATTTAAATAAGCCCTATAAGATAAGCTCACAACAATTTTGGTATTTTAACTGGCTTCTGAAAAGATGGGTTTTTATTTTTTTAAAAAGCTTTTTTCTGATAAACTCCTTTGAGTAGCTTATGGATAAGCTCAAACCCTCTTTTCAAAATCTATCAGCTCTTTTCATAAGTAAATGAGCATGCAGGGCAAACCTTCTTCCTCTGAGAACTTTGAGAAGAGAGGTTTATTTTTTATTTTTATTTTTTGTTCCAAGAAGTTGTTTAGGAAAATGGAGCATAGTGTTAATAGGAAATCAAGATGGTCTTCAAAGGAATGAAAAGTAGAATTCTGAATTCTTTTTCCTTTGTAATTGAGGTGATACCAAAAATGGAGTTGCACTGTTGCAGGCACATAAAGTGAAATCTATTCTCCAGAACTTAGCATCCGACTTGGTACGAGAGATCACTTAATACGGCTTGGTGCAGTGCATACTATTCGTCCTAACCATTGTCTAGGAAAATGTTAGTTGAGGAAACTTCCTTTGTATTGGAGTCTATTAAAAATGCAGTCAAACTCTTTTGACTAGTGAGAGAGTCTCGATATTCATTAAGGACTTTGCAGTGAAAATCTTCCTTTCTATTCTTATATCTGATAACTTATCAATTCTGGTAATTACCTTTAAACTCCTTAGAATTTATGTACTGGCTGCTTAGGTCTAGCTGGACTCCGTGTCGGATATGGAGCATTTCCTCGGAGCATTATTGAGTACCTTTGGAGAGCAAAGCAACCATATAATGTATCTGTTGCTGCTGAGATTGCTGCATGTACCGCATTACAGAATCCTGACTATCTCGAGGTAATTTAAACTAGTTCTCATTATTATCTTGTAACTTTTTATACCGTTGCTTAAATCTTCCCTGATTGTAGTCTGTCATCTTTGCAGAAAGTTAAAGTTGCACTTGTACAGGAGCGGGAAAGGCTCTATAATCTCTTGAAAGAAGTACCATTTCTTAACCCGTATCCAAGCCACTCTAATTTCATTCTTTGCAAGGTTGCATCTACAATGGATGCTAAAAAATTAAAGGTAAAATACCTTGTACTGCTTTTTGAGGCTTTATATATATGGTGTTGTGTGTTTCTTGAAGATGGTCCGAGGACATCAATCACTACTTCCAAGCCTTGAAACTTCTGTTACTGCTTCAATTTTTGGCTACCCATATCATTATGTAAAAAGGTTTGAATTCCACGATATACTTCTGAGCATTTGTATCAACCGATGTCCCCTACAGGAAGATCTTGCATTGATGGGCGTGATGATTCGTCACTATGATAACAAGGAACTACGGGGCTTTGTTCGTGTCTCTGTTGGAAAACCCGAGCACACCGATGTTCTGATGAAGGGCCTAAAGCACTTCTATTGATCTCGGAAGGTATTGAAGATACAAAACGCACCTCCTCCCTGGCTACTAAGGCAATCCCGGCAAACTGGTGAATTTAACACTTGGTAGCCTCATTGTAAGCCCATTTGTATTTGTACTTTTATTTGAGATAATAGAGTTACATTGGTGGACATTTGCACACAAATAATATTGTGAACCAGAGTTACGTTGCAATGTAACTGTTTATACGTGCATTTGGTGCTATTTTCAAGTTTTTACTCAATTTAATATTATTGTGTTTGGTCCGTCTAATCTACCTAAATAAGTTGTGGATTCACTATAATATCAACTGTTGAGTTTGGAACCTTGAACAGACAATATGTAGTGATGAATACATTCTAGAGTCTCGTAATCATTGCCCATCATACTTCACACTATAGGATTTGGGCAAATTCGAAGACTCAAAGTCAATACCTTATAAATTATAATGTTTATCTCCTATAATAGTCTTTTGTGTTGTAAATATATATTTGATGGCCATTATCCTATTTGATTGGATCAAATATTGTATTCTATTTATCCTATGTTGTATGTCTGTATTTGCGGTGATCTAATGAGAATGCGGGTCAAAGTTTTTGAGTCCAACTTGGTCTTCTTCTCCTTTTTCTCTCTGCATGGTTATAGTGTACCATTATACAAAATTATACAAGATTTATACGAAGATACACCTTAATTCACAACACGTTATCATCACGAGTTCTTGTATATTCTCGGTGAACTAAAAGGCTTGGTTCCCGGGTCACTGTCGCACTCTTGGTTTCCGGGTCACACCGTCTGTCTGCACTTTTATTGAGATATATGATTTTGATGAATAATAGTTGGAATTTAACATATGAACTAAAATTGTCATTTTGCTAACATATAAACTAAGACTATCATTTTGCTAATATATGAACTAAAACCGTCATTTTGTTAATACTCGTAAGATTAAAATTGGTATTTGTTTTTAAAGTAAGTATATAAATTTTTTAAAAAATAAAAATAAAAAATGGGTGTAGTACTTTTTTTTTTTTTTTTTTTTTTTAAATAAAAATTAGCCAGCAGTGTTCTGTCACTTCGCTAGTCCACGTTAAGGAAATACTCCGTATAAAGAACAGAAAGAATGAGAAAATTTCGGGGGGTGTTTTAGATTTTCTTTAGGAACGCTGAAAAGACTTCGAGTGGAGTAGTACTATTTTTCTCACTGGAATTTCTCGTTTCTGAATCCCGTTGAGAAAGGCTCCTTTTTTCATTCTACCAAAACCCTAAAATCTCTCCCCCAATACAGAAATCATCGTCGTCGATTTTGTATTGTATATGTATGTGTGTATATGCTACGCACAGACATGGTAGATTGTTATGCTCGCGATGCATCAGCATCACCAGTCGACTCCGCCACCTCCACCTTCATCCGCCTCCTCTCTTAGATCCGCCACCGCCGCCGTCCCCATCGCCGCTCAGTTTCCTTCGACTTTTCCGCTTTCTCTGGGGCGGGATAATGTAATTGCGTTGCCAATGGCTCAAGCACACCCACCTGGGGAGTTTGGTGCGATCCCGCTTCAGCCTTTGGCAAGGGTTAAGCTTTCTGATATTCTGCCCTACGACGGTGCTCCTGCGGGGGGCTATTTGCGTGCCGTGGATGCCTTGTCTAGCTCGCTGATGAGGCACAATGCCGCAGTGATTGAGCTCGGTGCCGAAGATGCTGCGCTGCTCCGCTGTGGCCTTGAATCCGCCAGGTTTTATTTTAAGACTCGGGTTGTAGCTCACGGGGTGGCTGCCGGGAATAGCCCATGGAAGGGTACTCGTGGGGTTTATACGTACAGGGCAGGAAGGTAAAGACGAAAATTGTTTGTTTAATGATTTTATGTATAGTCTTAAGTGTTTTTACTATAATATGAATGAATTGGTCTCGCTTTTATTGGGGCACTCCTTTGCCATTACATGGAACACCAAAACAAAAAAAAAAATTGAGTGTTTTGGAAAGTTTAGTCCTTCTGCAAGGGATTTAGCAGCTTGTGTTTTTATAAACTTTTCAGTTAAGAAATAGTGCATCCATTAAGTTGACCTTGTTATTAGTTCATCCGAAGCCCCAGACATGATAACCCTGAAAAGTGTGTGTATTGTTTCAGTCTTTTGGTGCCCTTTTTAGTGGTGTCAATTTTCATTTTGTTGTTGGTGGTCAATCATTTTTCTTCATTGCATTTGCAAACATGACAATTAACTTCAAATTGCAGGCCATTGGAAGACATAGATTCATCTCCCCCGTGCATGGCTGATGTCTTTCAATGCATGGGAAAGGCAGCTCGTGCTGCTTTATGTGCAGTTGCTAGACATCTTCGTTTGCGAAGCGAGTAAGGATATTAGTTTTGTATTTTGTATTAAAAACATTTCTCTATGACTTTTCCTCTATGATTTTAAGTTTGACATAATGTTGTCCATGCAGTGTTTTTAACCACTTGCTTGATGATAACCCATTGCCGCCTAATGAGCCTTCTTCATCCATTCTTGTTGCATCCTTCTCTCCTACAACCTCACAGAATGGGAAAGGACCAATTGAGGGAGCGAAGCTCCCATCAACTAATGAAGTAGAAAAAGGGTTGTTAACATTGATTTCCTCTGATACTGCTGGTCTTCAGGTATTCTGGTGTCATGGTCTAACTAGTTTTATTATTTGTAATATGTTACTCCATACTTGTTTCTTCAGCTAGCATATATTAGAATTACTGAATGATGCAAGGACTTCTTTCTCCTTTTTATTATTTATTGTTTTTATTTTTAGATATTTGAAAATTTAAGTTTGTTTGGGTATCTAGGTACCCTAATATTGAATTATTTCACTTCACTGTTTCTTATTGTTGTAGGTATGTGACCCCAATAGTCGTTGGTACCTAGCAGATAGTGGTCTAGCTCCTGGAGATCTGTTATTGCTTACTGGAAAGGCTCTCAGCCATGCAACTGGCGGCCTCCGCCCTGCAGCCACATACAGGGCAGCTTTTGATTACTATCTGGGTAGTACTACTGGTGGAAGGTAGATGATGGTCACAAAACTTTGCAAAGTTTATTGCTTCAGAGATTTTTCAGTATAAAATGATTACTCTTAGCTGACTTCTTGTAGGACATCATTGGCATTTAGGCTCATGCCACAAAGCAATGCTGTTCTTGATTGTTCTCCAATTACAGCTGCTGGTCATGTCATTCCTCAAAGCTATGTACCGATTTCTGTAAGCCAGTTTTTGGATGACCTTTCTGCTGAGGAAGACATCTTTTGTAACAGAACCGATACTGCTTATGTAAGTACTATTTTGAAAGAGATAATGTTGACATACTGAGTACAAGTAACATATAATATGACTAGTTCAAGAAGGAAATGATATACCAAGCAGCATCATATCATAAAACTATTTGAAATCTTCAGCCTCTAAATTTATCTTCTTCTTCTTTATTTTTTATTTTTTGAATTTTACTTGTGGTTATTTTGGTTATATCAGTCTTGTTTTGGTTGTTCTCATCAAGCTTAGATCTGGAAAACCCTTCTCCATTAAGATCATCATTCTTTTGGTCATATAAAATAGGCAGAAGTGTCAAATAGGCCCATCTACTACTGCGAAGTGCTCAATTCCCACCACGAACTAAATTAAGTGTCAAATAGGCCCATCTATCAACTAAATTTGTTCGATTGGCTTTTTTTGCAGGTTGCCTATTCAATTAAAAAAAAAAAAAATATATATATATATATATATATATATATAACAAAAAAAAAAAAAAAGAATTTCAGCCACCGGCTGTCCGCCGGTCAGCCGGTGGCTGCGTATTTCACAGACACCCGTGGATGTCCGGTGAGGACAGCCAGACAGCCACGGCTGTCAAACATGAGGTCCAGATCTGGACCTCAAACGGCCTGGAATGAGGGCGGCCGGTTCGGCTGTCCGGCAAGGACAGCCGGTGGCTGATTTTTTTGTTGTTGTTATATATATATTTTTATATTTTTTAATAATTGAATAGGCAATCTGTTAGCAACCTGCAAAAAAAGCCAATCAAACAAATTTAGCTGGTAGATGGGCCTATTTGACACTTAATTTAGTTCGTTGTGGGAATTGAGCACTTCACAGTAGTAGATGGGCCTATTTGACACTTCTGCCTATAAAATAATGTTTGAGTTTAGGCATGGCCAATTGATCTCACAGACCACAACAATGTGATGAAGGCCATTAGGCTGAGTTATTCTATTGTACTATTAGATATTCAGGCACATCTCCTTTATTGAGGCTTCATGAGAAACATACATTATGATAATTAAGATATCTCACTCGGCTTGAAATAGCAGGTAGTTCGAGGCAATCCTAATAAGGAACAATCATTGAGAAGTGTTCTGTCTGATCCCTTATCGTAAGTTCCATTTCCATGCGTTCAGGAATTTGTTTTTAGTATGTTGTATTGCAAGATTTTGCATTGTTAATGTTTTTAGTTTCTATGCTCTCTTTTGAGGATATCATTTCCCTGGATATTATACTCATTTGTTTGGTCCAGAAGACCAAAATATTTCATATTTTAAGACATAATCCATTTTAAGAAGTATGTAAATAATAAATTGATAAGTAACCAAAAGAATATTTGTGGACCTAGCCGCCTAGGTATTAATACCTAATATTTTGACAAATAGTTTAGATGTCTGGAAGTGTTACTACTGGCCTTTTAACTTTGAAATATTGCTTTCTTTAAAAGAAAGGTGGAAAATAAGTTTAAATGGCCAAATATAGAAACCTTCTCAATATTCACCTTTATATGTTAAAAACTGTAAAGTTATGATATGTATTCAGTATTCTTCTGTTGCCTTTAAATATTGGAAGATACAATTAAAAGCCAGTATTGTTATGGACTATGGTTGTATTTGGGTTGGATAACCGAGTTTTAGCAAGTCATTGTATCTTTTGATGGATCCATTTGAAGTACCTTTTTTTTTTTGTTTTTCTTCAAACTGGATTATGTTAGAAAATTGAAGGGCACAGATAGCAGAGGTTCTCTTATTTCATAATTCATTGTTTATTTATTAAACATGAAAGTTGTACATTTCTTCCCGATTTTCTCAATTTCAATGTATATTTTAATCGCTCTTTCATTACTTGTTTGTACAGACGTACAATTACATTATTTATTCATAGTACTTGTCGTTTTAGTTATGGGCTGCATTATGCATAATATGATATACTTTATTGTAATATGCACATATTGGGCACCCCAGTGGCGCATTCCTGGAAGATGCTATGTTCGTTTCATGTGGACATTCCTTTGGTGGTTTAATGCTAAGAAGGGTTGTTGAAACGGTAAGGCGATTGACTTCATCTCCTCTTGTTATTGACTTGTAGATGATCACATTTTTCTATCCCAAAGTGAATTTTTGTTATGTATTTGCCTTTTCAACAAGTTGATGAAGAAACCTGACCTACAAGTTGAAGATGAATTCATGCTATTTTCCTTAAAAAAATCATCTAATGTTATTTTAAATTGTTACGGTTCATGTGGTTTATTTCATGCCACTGTATGGCCTCAAGAATGTATAGTAAAATGAAATTTTTATGACAGGAAAGATGCACACTCTGCAATGCAGAAATTGATCCTGGATCTTTAATCCCTAACCTTGGTATGCTCCAGTTAGTTTACTCTGTCCCTTGCCAGCTCTTGTTTTAATCTGTATCCTTGAAGTAACGATGCTTTTGGATCTACTATAATAAATTTTAATGCTATAGTCTGACTGTTCTGGGTTTTGATGCCTTTTTAATGAACAGTATTAAGAGCAGCAGCTGCTGCAGTGAAGCATGAGGATGACCGGAGATTATTCCATAATGCTGCCCTCAGGAAGCGCAGGAAAGAAGTGGGTGAATTCAGGGTAAAATTTTATTTACTCCATTTTGTTTAATCATGTAAACAAACATTGGGAACAAAGTTCAACCTAGTATGACCAAACTACCCTCATATGACTTGATTGTATTGAGCATAGTTTGGAGATAAAAGTTATCAAATAATGCTTATTTAAATATTGCTATATTATTTATTATATTATTATAATAAACATAAATTATAATATTTTAATTCAAAATTTTTAAATTTATAATATTATAATATTTTAATTTAATAAAGTAATTTATAAATTACTATTATTTTTATTATCATTATTATTGTGTAGGGGTTTCTTGGTCTTTATATTCATTATTCCTTACAATTCCAAACCCAACCAATTGAACCAAATAATAGAATCAAATTCCCAGTTATTTCTTTTCCACCAACCAAACACTGGAATTGATCTTCCAGTAGTTTTTCCCCATGGAATTTAAATTCCATTCCTCAATTAATTTTCACGAACCAAATGGGCCTTAATAATATCCTCCAGCAAGAATAAATTCCTATCCACAACTACTTAGAGCTAATTGTTCCAATTCCACTCGATGCCCTCTCTTCTAAGAGATGGTCTCTATTTATAATTTATTGCCATATGTAAAATATGGAAGGAACATCTATTACTGATTATAGAATCAGTCAATCCCTAATTCCATGCTCCATAAAATAAGCAAGAATTACATTATCAGTCAATCCTTGATTATATGCTTCCTTGAATTCTGCCATTTTAATGATTACTTTCCTTCATAACTGACTGCTAATGAAACAACCTTGTCCTCAAGGCTAGAGTGCAAAAATTGACTTAAAAATTCAAGTCATCAATCCAAGTGGTGTCATATCCCATTTAGCCAAAATTTGATAGTTCTCTCTTGAGCTCTTGTTTAGCTAGTGAGTAGCCAAATATCCTCGATATATAACCTTGTTTGTCTAATGCCATGTCCTTGAGAAGTTCGGAGACAAGTTGATGGTGTCTTGTAACATGTTGGAGTTGTGACCCATGAAAAACATGGTGTACTCTAGTTGTGGGTGGTAGCGTCAGTTTGTAGGCGACTGCATTTAATTTTTGCACAGTTCTAAAAGCCCCATAGTACCACGAAGCTAGTGTTGGGTTGATAAGATGTTGGGTTGTAGAGTGGCAATGAGGTTGGAGCTTAAGCAAGACATATCCTCCCGTAAGAATAAATTCCTGTCCACCACTACTTAGAGCTAATTGTTCCAATTCCACTCGATGCGCGCTCTTCTGAGAGATGGTCTCTATTTATAATCTATTACCATATGTAAAATAAGGAACACCAATTACTGATTACATAATCAGTCAATCCCTAATTAAGATGTTCCATAAAATAAGCAAGAAATTACATAAGCCGTCAATCCTTGATTATATGCTTCCTTGAATTTTTCCATTTTAATGATTATTTGATTTGATTACTTCCCCTTTCTTGCCTAATTTGTATTAGACTGGGTGAAGCGTAAAGTCAGTCCAATGCTCTCATTTGGAATGAAATCTTGGTTTGGCAAATATGTAAAGTTTGGGTGAATATCATTGTCTTAATACTGAATATGATTATGATTGCTTGTGTTTGAATGAAACCAATGTATTGTTAACAGTCATGTTAGGAAGGCCACGTGTTGGAAGTTGGGGGGGATAGATGACTTCTTTTTGTCATGACCCTTGATATTTAAGCAGTTCTGTAGAACATGTGAACTTTGTCTTAATCTAGTTTAAGATGAAGTCATACGAGTTGGGTGGAACTTTTTGAAAATTTTGCATACCATGGTTAACATTATTCCTTTTAGGTTTCTACATGAAGTACTTTACGAGAATCAATCGGATTATATGTAGCTTAATAAATTAACAAACTATAACATAGTGGTTGTGACCTCTATGAGCTGAACTCAAATAAGTTTTCATCTCAATTTAGTTTGGGTATGTTGTTGTAACCTATATGAGCTAAATAAAAAATTGAAGTTACCACTATAATTGCAATCACTTCTATGAACAATATTAGTTACACTACCTTGACAATAAATTCCTCTGCAAATAATGCTGAGTTAAAGTTTATTCCCTTGAGATTTCATCTTGGAAGAGTATTCCATTTGTTACATTTTCTTAGAATATGGTGGATATGATCATGTTGAAACTAAGGGATTGAAATGCTTCGCGGTTGATAAATAGCCACTGCCCACTAGTTAGGCGGAAGCAAAATGTGAGAAACCAAAAAAAGAATGTAGAGACTAGAGAATATATGACTGTATTAATTAATAGATTGTCTCTCTCTATATTTGTATAGAGATCCTGTATTTATACAAACATTGACTACCTGTACTAGGAATAGGATTGGGGATTCTACTATTCAACACTCCCTCAAGTTGGAACATCTAGAAGTTCCAAGCTTGAATTAAGACAAACACTCCACCTAACATGAAACTACAAGTCTACAAGAGAAGATTAGACGTGGCTAAAGGATAGTAGTGCTGGATAGATTGGAAGACACGACATTATACACGACCCTTGGGAATGAAGATGAGAGTACAAAATGACACGGCAATACAAGCACTCTAGGACACACACTAAAAAGCCTTCACCAAGAGTGGTAGAGATGAAATGGAGCTGGAGCAACAAGGGGATACATAGTGATAAAGCCCATAGTAATGAGGATAACCCATAGCGATGAAAAAAAAGAGGACATTGGTTGGTTGGTGATGGCAACATCCATCTTTCTTGAAACTTGAGAAATAATAAACAACCTTTAGGAATGAAATATAGTAGTGCACAAATTGAAACTCGAGAAATAAATATGGTATGCTGAAAATAAGTATAAAAAATTTAACACCCTTGAAAAAGAAACTTGACAAAAAACTCAAAAATCCTTTAAGTTTCACAAATAAACATAAAAATAGCAAAAATAAAAAAAGGGTATGGAAATTTTGCCAGAAAAAGTCATTAATGGCTGGTGGGGACCATCTAAAGAGTAAACCATAGTGATTTCTAGAGGAAGAAGAACACTCTAGTGTAGGTTTGGCAAAAAGATTGCCAAGGGAAGAGTTTGCGAAGGCAAAAAGATTGGCCCAATCTTAGATTCTAACAGTTTGCGAAGGCAACCTTTGTAAAGGTTGAAGCTAAGAAAATAGTTGTGCTAAGCACTGTCCACTTCGTTGGAAATCATTGTTTTTAAAATGCCTGACCACCCATCAGTTAAACGGAAGAAAAAAATGTGAGAAATCAAAGAAAGAGAAAACACAGAGAATATATATATATATATATATATATATATATATATATATATATATATATATATATATATATATATATATATATATGATTGTGTTACTAATAATAGATAGATTACAACAAATTGTCTCTTTATATATTGAACTGTATAGAGATCTTATATTTGGCCTAGCCACTCCTACTAGGAATAGGACTAGGGGTTTCTAAGCAAATGATGATTAAGCATATTTACATAATTATTATGTTTGGGATCAATAAACACACATTAAGACACTATAATATTCCATTTTGACTAGTTTTATGGAAACTAAGAGTAAAGTTGAATGTTTAGTATAGATGGGTGAAAAAATTGAGATACATATATTATTAATAAGTTTGAATTTTCTTGACTGTATGAAAGTGAGTATGTTTTTTTTACTACTATTATTACAAGGACTTGTACCAGAAGAAGGTTGTATATTTGGAAAGTTAACAGTAGAAGTAAAAAAGAAAGTATTAGTGCCTGTTTAGTAGGAAATGTTTTTCCAATTTTCATTCTCCAAATGGAAAATGGGCCATTTTGGGTCCAAATTTTCCTCTCTTTCCTTCCCTTTCTTAAGTCATTTTCAGAAAAAAAACCTGCTACATGTCTCTTTCATCCATCTGCCATAATGCCGCCAGTCTTGCCAGTCTCCATCTACATCTGAAAACATGGAGTTCGATGTGTAGTGAAAATTATCCCTTTTGGCTTCACCATCATCGAATGGGAACTAGTCTCTGCTTCTCCAACAATTAGTCTCCATCAAAAGTGACATGGACTTTGCATCTCCATCTCAATCCAGATTTTCCTGTCTCTTGTATTTCAGACTCCAATTTTTCCCTCTTAGTCCAGATTCTCCATCGGCAACATGGAGTTGGTGTTGTGTTACTTGTGTAGATTGGGGGTGAAGGGAAAACACAACACTTTTAACAAAGTTGGGAAAATGGAAAAGTTGATTCCATTTTTCAATTTGGAGAATGAACTCCTCTATTTTCATTCTCCGTTTCCCTTGAGAAATGGAAAATTTTTCCTTATGGTGAATAGGCAAGTTCCCCAAAATTGAATTTTCCATTTCCATGTAAATATATTCTCGTAGAAATTAATATATTATCTTAATTAATAATTGCGGCCAACTTATTTAAACTGTACATAGTAGTTGTTTGCACCGTGTTGTGGTTCTGCTCATCCTGAATTATATAATTCAAATTTATTTTTAACAAACTAACAAAGCATAAGTGGCCAGCCAAAGAAAATTGAGAGTACCATAAAATCTGATTTTGTTTGTTTGTTTTTGTTTGTTTGTTGGTTTTTTTTTGTTTTTTGTTTTTTTTTTAAATATTAATGCATGAATATCTGATGCTTAATAGGGTTCCAACTTTGCAGGAAAATGGGGAAGTTCCTTCTGAAAATTGTCCATACAAAGGTGTTCAGTACCCGTTCTCGGTGAATGAGAAAGTTGTTATTAAGGTGAGAGCTTAATGGACTTACATTCATTGTAGTTGTAAGAGTTTATTGGAGGATGTTTTATTTTGAATTTATTTGTACAGGGAAATAGGAGGACACCAGATAAATTTGTTGGGAAGGAAGCAATAATCACCTCACAATGTCTTAATGGCTGGTTAGTTTATCTGAACCCAGCCTCCTTGACAGAATGACTAAAGTTGGCAGCCTCATAAATTTAATCTATTTTCGTAATGCATCAAATGTCAATATGTCATGACTCTTGATTTCTCTTAATATGCAATATATATTACTAAAAAAACTGATGTTGAGCTGAGAGCCATTGCTTTTAGAAAAAAAGGTCATATACTGGCTGAGCTGAGAGCATCAGCTTGGTGAGGCCCCTTGGATGCTAAGAAGTAAGAACTAAAACATCACTTTGGGAGCCCAACCTAAGTTCAACTAGTTTTATGATGCTATAGTACCATACAATTTGATGTTTGGTGAAGAGATTCCAATTATCTAGTTAGATTCAATTGTATGAAACTGTTGTCCAACATTTCCCCGTATGGATTGCTTTAGGCTGCATCTTGGTTTCTTCTTTTAGAGCCTGATCTAAAGGAATTGACTGGTCTGTAATTCAACAATTATGTTATTTTTTCTTTTCCAAATTCTGCTAAGTGGAAGGACTTTCACATGTGCATTAACCATTAGTTAAGCCATTTTTGTGTTGAGAATTTGTCGTGAAGAAAGTTTAAGATCTGCTCAAGGGAGTGAATTCTTGTGTATTTCAAGATGGATGCCTTTAGGCGATTCCAAGTTGTTGGGTTCGTTGGGGTTCCCTGTTGTGATTGGACAAGCTGCTTTTTATTTCTATATAAGTAGCAAGTATAGTCACATTTACAGTAAATGCCACATTACTAAAGAGAAATATACTTAATAAGTTATAAAAACTATGTTATTGGACTTTGGCAGGTACTTGCTTAGGATTCTCGACAGTGGAGAGAATGTTCGCCTTCAATACCGCTCTCTGCAGAAGTTACTGACTTCCCAGGAAACCGAGGAGAGATGCCATTCACAGCCGGTTCAGAGCAACAGCTGATAGTTACCCGTCTCATGTAAATGACCTTTTGGACCCTTGCATTACAATTCCTCCGAATTTGAAATGTATCCTGTAAATTGTTAGTTATTGTTTAATTAAATTATCATTGTAGAGATAGAGAGAGAGAGAGGAAAAGAAAGAGGATAAATTTCAGAGTCCTCTGAATTGGTAGGCCGGCTTAAAGAGCATTTTCACTCACAGGAGAGAAAAGGATACGGGGATAACGGACATATGAATGTATCTGTAAAATAGTTTTGGCCTAGGATTTATAAGTTTGAGGTAACCCTGATAGATCATAGATTTAAGTTAGAATTTTAGTTTACCCTTGTTCTCTCCATCAATTAATCAGTTCATTCCCATTTTGAAATGGGACAGAAGCTTTGCTTCAAAATTCTATTTTCTGAGAGATAGAAGATTCAGCCTTCAGGGTTCTTGAGGAAATGTAAAATAATGAACTGAAGCCCAATATAATTGCATATATTTCTTTAATTGTGTGCAAGGATGGCAGGCTTTCACCCATACTTGATTTGAATAGGAGTTTGATTTTTAAATAAGGTTTCGAATATAAATCTTGTGAATAGAGTAATAGGTGTTGAACATTTGGAGAGTTCATTATAGTAGTTTGACATTGAGTTAGTTGGATTTTGATGAATTGCTTAATGCTGTGGGTTTTAACTGTAATAACTTTTTTTTTTTTTTTTTTTAAAAGATCACACATTTTATTGACTGTTTGTTAAATGAGCCAATTGCATTATTGCAGTTCCAATAGTAGATAGTGGCCCTGTTTGGTAACATAGTTAGCCCATTAGTCAATTTTGATTTATTTGACCACTATTAGTTGTTTGACTTTATTAAACAATCAATATGAGTGTTTAATTAGTTAGATTTTTGTAACAACTTATTTCTCTAAAAATGTTGAAATTCAAAAAGTTGCTCAAAGCGACTTTTTTGATTAGTTTCGGGAGAAAGTAACTTTATATATAATCGGTTATCAGCTAACAATTAATTTACTAAATACTTTTCTACAATCAGTACTAACTCAATCAACTAATAATTATTTATCAAACTCACTAACTCAATTAGCTAATAATTATTTATCAAACATCATAGCTCATGTTTTGATCTAAATAGCATGGGACGCGTGGAATCTTGTGTGAATAAAAAAGGATCACCTTGCAAGGTTAAATATATTTGGGTAGTGAAATTGTAAGCTCCCAAGTACAAAGGAGCCTAGGCTTTGATAGCTTAATGAGGATAAAGTTTGGGTGAAACTAAACATATTGATGTTGTGAATGAGTTGTGGTTAGAGGTGAAATATCACTTGAACTCAAAGCTTGTTGGTTCTCCCTAATGTGTTGAGGCACAGCAAATGAATAGACACCTATATGGGTAAATACTAGTACAACAAAAGTATAGCGCTCTTTTAGTCTATCACTTAAGTGTGTTGAGGCACAACAATTTACAAGACACCTATGGGTAAGGCCAACATTATCCCAGCAACTTTCTCTCACTTTCTAAAATGGATCTTACTTCCACATCACCAATTTACAAATTATTTACTATTCACACTACATCCCTACAATATTCTCTCACTTTCTAAAGTGTTCCTACTTTCATATTATATTATTATATTATAAATATAATAATATAATAAATAGCTAATAAAGTAAAATAATTTTTTTTAAAAAAAAAAGGTACACAAATGCTTATCAGGATTAGAAAGCTTGCTATTTTTGCAAGCTTTCTATCCAACATGGCGAAAAAAATTAAAAACAAAATGGATTTTAAAAAGCCACATCATCTATAAAGAGGGGAAACTTTCAGGGATGGGTTCAACCTAAGAACATCTTCAATAGATGAAGTTGTTTTCCTAATTTTTTTGGTGGACTCCAACATCCATCTCATCATTCAGTATCTCACTCAATTACAAAAATCATTCTCCCCAATCCCCATTAGTTTTATTTTTTTTTTTCAATTTTTTGTAGACCCACCATTTTACCCCACTACATTTTAATTATTTCTTTATCTATTATCATTCAAAAAATTATATGGAGTAATTGTAATTATAATTGTAAATTTAATAACATTGATAATTAAGAAAATTTAATTTAATTATAAATTTAATTAACAATATTAAATTAAAAAGTTAAATAAAATTAAAAAAAAACAAGAATGTTAATAAATTAAATTAAAAATAACTTTTTTTTTAAAAAAAAAAAAAAACAAGAAGTTGGCAATGTTAATCAACCAAAAAAAAAAAAAAACAAGAACATAGCCTTCAATTGATCCCATGTGGGTGCGTGTATTGACAGTGAGACGCGTTTCTAATTATGTTTTTTTTTTTTTTTAAATGACAAAATCTCTATTTTTGTAGGAGGAACCAACACTTAAAAAAAGCTTCCTTTTAAAAACTCAACCTTCAAGATTTTATTGTTTGAAAAACTACATATAAACCCCTATTGGGGATGCGCTAATACAAAAATAAAATAAAATAAAATTATAGCATTCCCAGTTTGGCCACTAAGGTAGTACCAAATTGAGGCAAACATACTATATATAACTAAATGTCTAAATATGACAGTAGAATTACAAGACTCAAGGTTGGCCAATGAAAGACCGAGTAATAGCTCACTGATCAATTCAAGCATTTTTATATCGGTACGTTTTTCAATATTCAACATTTCAATGAAGGCCTATTGTTTTTGTTCCCAGATTTCGGACTATATTCTGGATGATTGGATGGACCCTCCATGAACTCACCCCGGTCAGGATTCATATGGAATTAACGAAATTAAGCTAAGATTTAAGACTCAATACTAAACTATACACTTGTGCGCACAAATAGTTTAACCAAAATCCAAATTAAACCTCCATGAGAGTTGTCACCTATTAAACCAAAGCCATTGGAGCATGAAGGCTTATTAAATTCTCAAGTTTGAAAGTTTAGTAAAAAGGGGCAGATAGCCAGCGAGTAGACTTGTCAAAAGTACTAGCTACGACGTAACATCTTCCGTATAAATGGATGTCAACTTGGCAAGTAAACCGACAATGCATTTATGCATGCATGCAAGGAGAACAGAGTAACAGATCGACTAAGATTTCAAGCTCCGATCCGTAGATGGTACCAGGGAGTATGGCCCATCATACCATACGGTGATAATCTTACGGTCACCGTTCATTCTCTCTTCTTTCAACTCTCCAACCTGTAATAGATCAGATCACGTACTCCTCTGCAGCTTTGCTTTCAGTAACTCGCTTAATTAATTGCATATCAGTATCTGCATGCATTGATTATAAGTTGTACTATCACTGTCGTTTTAGTTGTTTGGTGCAGAATCGTGTATGTATTTTTGCATGCATACATGTGCCTTCTCTCAGATGGTTGCAGGGCCAGATCTATGCCTCCGGCCACCTTCAATTCTGTAACAGTAATAATTTGCCTTTTCTTGTTTTTTTACTAGCTAGAAAACTCTCCGTCATTATATTAAGGTTATTATATAGAAAACTCTCCGTCATTATATGTGACGGGCTCGATCGGATCGGAAGAATGATCACAAAAATCAAACTCGTGACTTTTAAGTACATGAATCATGCTCAGTCTAGTCCATCGCCCACTGTATTATATTCGTATCTATTTATATTGGATGCTGAGTAATTCATAATTGAGCTACTTTAATTTTGGACCGTTGTTCCATTGTTTTTTGAGTACCATGATATGCCCTCTTGTTAATTAGTAGTTGTATTATTGGATGCTTATCAACTCATAGTTAAGCTACTTCCCTTGATGTCTATTACTCTAATTCATATTATGGCACTTATGCTTTTTGCATGATTGTTTTGGAATTGTTTCTTTCTTAAACTTACTTTATGGATGATATTTACCTTTATTGTGTATTTGGTTCACGAGATTTATCTAGATAATACGATTACCTTTTGAAAAGTAATATAAGATTAGGATATTTGTGATTAATTACGTTACGTAGTTATTTATAGTAATTTGCATACCATTTAGTATTTATATTTATTTTGTAGAAAAAAAATAATAATTTAATTTTACTTTATCGAGGTTTTATTTTAGTATCATGGTGGTACTCTCTTGCCGGTAGTCATATTAGAATTTAGATGCTAACTAATTCATTGTTGAGCTACTTATAAATCGTAGTCTCACTTCTTTCTTTTTTGAGTAAATACTCAAAATGGTCCCTCGACTATAGCTAAATTCACAAATTGGTCCTCAAACTTTCAATTTCACCCAATTAAGTCCTTAACTTTGTAATTTTAACACAATTTGGTCCTCTGTATATTTGATCGTTTGTTGACTGTGATTTTTGAGGATATATATGTAATTTCATAGTCCATCGTAGGATTTTTAAGGTTCCGGTTGCATTTCCAGACTGCACTATTACATTTGAATCCACTGTCGAAAGCAATCTACCAAACCCGGTCACCTTTCTTCATCCTCCCTTTGGATTCAATGTAGTTGAATTCGTACCAGAGCGAAGAAGACGACGTGTTTCCGAACCGGTGCAACGTCATCCTGGAGGCCTCCACGTGCTCCGACGAGAGCTGAAGGTTCTTCTGGAGATCGTCGATCACGGTCAACAAACGGTCAATTAGATGGAGGACCAAATCGTGTCAAAATTGCAAAGTTAAGGACTTAATTGGGTGAAATTGAAAGTTGAGGACCAATTTGTGAATTTAGCTATAGTCGAGGGACCATTTTGGGTATTTACTCTTTTTTTTTTCTTTCTTTTTTAAAATTAATATCATGACTTACTAGTAGCCATATCAGAGCTGGATTTTAGGGTGCGCACAATGTCCAAGAGTACATGATGACCTCAATTTTTAGAGGGCACAATATTTATTTTTGATCTAACTACTTAAGAAATTTTTTTAAAAAAAGTTGTAATTAATCCTGAAACTCATCAATTTTTTCTCTAAATCACTTCTCTCTCCTAATAATTAGGACCTAATTAATCAAGTATGCCGCATGTCAAAACCGTTATGTTTCCCAACGGCACAGATGATGTCAAGCCCTGAATAACTTAGCTTGAAACATTTACCATATTCACTAGTTCACCACCAATACCACGAGAAATTGATTCTCCCCCCCTAATAGATCATTCTACTTGCATTCCAAACGATAGTTGCAGCCCAGCAGGTTGCCACTAACCAGGTAGTTTCAAGATGTTTTTTTTTTTTTTTTTTAAATTCTGTTTGTTTGGACTTTAGAGATAGTAAGTTAGTAGGATTCTTATGATTTAATTTTAAAAATGGGATGGGCTTATATTTTTCGGGTATGATCTCATTTATTTACAAGAACGGAGCCACAAAAATCTAAAAGACGGTCCTGAGTCTTATAAGATACTAACTAATTCACAATTTGAAACGTAATTGAGACGTTCTCCTTATGTCTCTTACTCTATGTGTGTTATGGTGGTAATGTCGTTGCATGATTGTTTTGAAACTGCTTCTTTCTTAAACTTGACTTTGTGATTG